ATGTGCCACAGCACTGGCGTGGAGAGGCCAAGTCCCAAAGCCTCAGAGAAAACGGGATGTCGTGGGATGCTTCTTCTCAGACCAAGGCTGCTTCCTCTCTGTGGCTCCGAACAGGGCTCTCTCGGGATCCGTGGACTCTTCGGCAGGCTGTCCCGACAGCCTGCGTGCCAAGGGATGGTTCTTGCCTGGGTTGCAGATCAGCTAGAAAGACAGGATTGTCCCGCAGTTCAGCTGTGATCAGTTCTCGAAATCTCCCTGCTGAAGCGCCTTGGTCTAGATGTGCGCAAGAGCCCAGAACAAGACTCGGCTGTGCAGGTGGCCCGAGGGGGCCTTGGTCCCGGAAGGAGGGCCGTGCTGGCGCATCCCAGTGACCATCGCTCTTTTGCTGATTCTGTCCCCGTGCACTGAGGTGCGCACGGTGTTGGCCAAGCCATCCTCTCTGCCGCGGCTCCCCCCCTGCGATACCGAAGGGGTCAGCTGGTGCTGCCTTTTGGTGGAGGGGCTGGGCTGGGCTGAGCTGCACGAAGCGCCCAGTGCCCCCGGGAAGCTGAAACCCGCAGTGGCCTTGCTGGCCATCCCCGCAGGCGTCTGCAGCTGCCCGTCCTGCCTCGGAGCACGTGTTCTCGTGTTCTCAGCACTTCCACATCTCAGGCTTTTAATGGGAAAACAGGATGAACTGGTTTTGGGGAGGGCAGCCTTTCTCACCCAGCAGGAACAGAAGGTGGCTGCACCTTTTTATTTACAAGGGAGCCGGAAACCCGAATGGCGCTTTCTTTTCTTTTTTAAAAAGATAAAGAAGGAAGAAAGAAATGGAAAGAGAAATTTGCCAAGGGACCTTGCACACAAATTACATGAAATATTCGATGCAGGAAGTGTCACAAAAAATTGGCCAAATACCTTCCAAATTTGTAACTACAGTTTTAACATAATAGTTAAAAATAATAGTTTAATTAATACTTAAGACTACTAATAATCACATAAAATTGCTTTGACATAGCTGTCCACAAACCTAGCAACAATTAATAATTGAATTTTCCTCTTTTTCCCCAGGTAAGACAATATCATAATAAAAAAATTAAATTCATGGAACAGTTATACTAATTTTATGATTTTATATATAATACTTGATATCTAAAGTTCCTATTTTTCTCCGAATTGCTGCATAAAGTAGGTATAAAAGGCATTCTATTTATCATGTACTTCTTCAACCGGTTTTCTATTTATGTAGCTAGCTAGTAAATATATTGGCTAAGTCATCCTTACGTAAATTCTATTTTTTTCTCTCAATTGTTAAGTAAAATATGTATAATAAGCTTTCCATTTATCATTAAATTCTTTGGCTGGTCTTCTATTTATATAGCTGGCTAATTTTGCCATTGCTGCATATTCAGCCAGCTTATTTTTCCAATCTTCACTAGCTGGACAGTCTTCTGCTTTCCATTTTGTTGCAATTGTAACTCTAGCTGCTGTTATCATATATTTAAATAATTCTTCCGTATTTCATGGCGGAGTTTATGGCAGAGACTCAATAGCATATTCTTCGTGTTCATAGGAAAGTTAATTGTCAAACTTTTCTGTACTTCAGCATGCGTTTCTCTCCGACTGCAAATGGTGTTTTCAGTACTTGGTGAGAATCATTTAATTAATTTCCGTGGAGTGGGGTTGTGAGATCCCCAAGTTCCAGTTCAGGGGCAGGCTCCCTCTCTTTGCAAGAGCCGTGTGGGCGCCTCCAGAGGACCCCCGGCACTGGAGGCCGCCTCTGCCCGGGGGTGGGGGGCCTGTCCCTCCCCCATGGATCCCTCCCGGCCTCTCTCCTCTGCCCAGTTCTCCTGCAGGGTCCCGCAGCTGCAAGACCCCGGGAGCGAACGAAGCCGTGTGTGGTAGCTTTCTCTGCCGGTACCCTTGACAATCAGCAAATGTCGGCCTAGATAGTCTTTCTTTTACATTGTTCTAATGCCGCGTGTGCTGAGGACAGAGTGGGGGTCTTGCTGTCAAGTTGTTTGAGATGCTTTGCTGTACCTACGACAGTGTGTTGTGGGGGTGAGTGAAAACAGCATATGTTCCTGTGGGTGTTTACTAGTCTTCTCTTTGGGAAATATTTTCCTTAAAAATAAAGTATAAAATTCTCACATGAAAACAATCTTTTAGCCTGGATTCGTGAGGACCTGAATGTTGGCGAGTCACATCTGCACCCTTTAGTGTCCCTTTCCCCCTGTTCTTGTGGGTGGTGGGATCATCAGCTGTTGGAGGAAGCCCTTGTGAGCTCTGCAGAATTACGTGGCTTGCTCCGGTGGCCAGCGGGATGCCCCCCATCTGCCTCCCCCCCAGTGATTCAGTGGGACTGCATTTATCTCTCCGCTTCTTCTGTCGCCTTTCCCTCATTTTCTTCTCCTGCCCTGGGGAACATAGCATCGGGGTCCCCCCTCCCCCCGCTTCAGTGCCGGAAGCAGATCCTAAATCCACTGTCAGATCCATCAAACAGGGAAATGAGCACCTTTCTCCAGTCTAACAGAACAGCTCAGATTCCAGCCAGGCCATGAGCTACCTTTGGTTTTGCAGCCCACTTTATACTTTATTTTTATTTATCTTTGTTTGAGGGTCCCTTGACATCAAAGAAACCTAGCTGATGAACCCCACACACCTCAGTCAAGTCAGAGATGTTATTTGCATTGGACCAAAAAAGTAGTCTTCAGGAAGAAGGTGGAGGTGACACCTCAGAGGAGATGGTCCTCCCTCCCTCTCTCCCTCACACACCAGGAGAGCCTCTTTCGGTCCCTGAAATCTTGTCATCATTTAAAAAGTCACTTTTTAACAACGCAAATTGTCTCCCCATCACCAGACGGTTGACTCAGAGGGCTTCCATGGATTCATGGCACTGGTCCGGTGCGCTGAGGAGCATCACTCCCGGCCATGTGTGGGGCCCAGCTGAGCTGCAGAAGCTGGGGCAGCCTGGGCCGGGGTCCAGGATGTGGCCTCCCCAGAGGGTCGAGGGGGCCGGGCCGGGGGTGACGTGGGGACCTGTTCCACGGCTGGGAGACTCTGCCTGATGGCGGCTCCTTTCGGATCGCTGCAGCTGCCTAGCTACTCGTAGTTTTGCTGTTGAAAAATACATGACTGGTTATCGACTAATTGTTGCCTTTTGTTCTGTAAACCATACAAAGACTATTTGGTGATAAGCAGACACACATTTCTCGGTAGCCCCACTGTGGGTAGCTAGGCAGCTAGATGCAGTGTTAACCAAGCAGTAGGAAAGAATTAAAACCGAAAAGTGTGCCTTCAGCTGATTTGGTTTGTTTTACTTGGTCTAATGGCATCTTGCAATTTCATTTTTGCATGCTGCTCAGTTTTCACTTTTCACAAACCAGCATAGGATACAAGCACCCTTTCTTGCTGGCAAAATAATCTACAGCAACTTTGGTGTTTGTTTATTTTTATACTGGCTTGGGAAATTAATCAAGAGTTATTTATAGCCTTTGAGGTTGGTGAAAGGGAGTTATTTTGCAGCAAGGATTTCTAAGATTTCCACATAAAGCCTGTTTTTTCCTCAGCCTTTTTTCAGTTTTTCCCCCAGTGGCCATCTTTGTCTTATTGTTGACCTGCGATAGTTTTCCGCCCTGAGATTCGGAGGGGAACGAACATGTCAGAATTGGCATGGCTTGCTCCTCCAGCCTCTTCTGCTTCAAAAATGCTGCAGCCGCTCCATGGGGGAGAGAATCCCCAGGGTCTCACAACTTGGCTGCAGCTTCTCCTCCGGTCATCAGCATCCTGGGTCGGGCTTCTCCATGGAGTCTGCTCGGTGGCACACAGCTGCCGGACCCCCTTCAGCCCAGCGGCCCTCCCAGATTCTGCAACAGCCTGAAGGAAGCCAGAGCTGGAGCTGCACGGCTGCAACCTCCTGGATCCTTTTGAGGCTCCCCCCCACCGCCATGTTTAAACTGGCTACTTTCCAGTCCTTTGGTAAAGTGGCTGGTTTTGGTGATAAGTTACATATTCTAGTTAATAGTTCAGCAAGCACACATGTGTGTTTCCTTAAGAACTCCCGGGGTGATCGCCGTTGGGCCGTGGAGCTCGTTACTCTTTAACTTGCCAGACCTAAACTGTCATCCTTTGTCACTCGCAGTCTGGCAAGGTTACTGCAGATGTCCCTGCCACCTGGGCGAAGGGGACCCTGTGCAGGTATGACTTTTCTGCCGAACTCTTGAAGGACTCTTTGTGAAAGAATTACTTCTCCTGCTTCTCTGCAATTTCCCAGCATGCCCACCCACTGGTCGGGGCCGATGGGAATGGTCGGCCCAAGGACCGAGGGGGGCTCCCGCCGGAGCCCCTCGCAGCCCTTTTGCTTGGCTGCTCGCTTGCTTCCTTGCTCTCTATTGCACATTCCCAGGGATCCAGTCTCTCTTGTAGGGGTGGCTTGGGCACGCCAAAGAAAATTGCAGCCAGAGCTGAGCAGCACAAACAGCTGAATGTAAAAAGAAGAGATGAGTCACTTTCAAAAATAGAAAACTTGTAAAGTCTACACATTCGTGTGACACAATTTAAAACAAAAACTGAAAATAGCAGGTTGTGGCCACTCTGGGACAAATCGCCATTGAAAATGATCAGGAATGGCCTCCCACCTGCCCAGGTAAGGTGCACCTAACAGCAGCATACAGGTATTGGCTCTGTTCAGGCATCTACAGTGATCTAATATCACACTAACACTTCTTAATCCTTGTGCATCATATTAAGGGACGATGCAGCCTAATTATGCAAATGTTAGGCACCAATATTAGTCTTTTAGCGGGTAATTTTTATTAGCTTGTTTTGTCAGTGGCAGTACTTTTAAATGAGTATTTCATAAGCCACATGGGCACATTGCTAATAATATTTTTTACACTCCTCATCCCAACTTCCCGTGGACTTAAAACTGGGTTTTGTTGTGGGATTTAGTGAGTAGAAAATTGGGATTTTTATCCGTATTTCCAACGGCTGAGTCAAAACTGTCACTGCTCGGCTGCGGTGGCGGCCGTGGCGTTCCCTGCCTCTCTCTGCCCACGTGACGCTCGTGTTGATGCTCAGCCATGCAATTAGGCCGCGGCCCTTATTGGTGGAGTGGAACCAACTGATGAGCGCAGCGAGGAGGGACCCTCACGTGGTGTGGTGTGGGCAGGGCTCGGAGCAGAGTCGCCCTGGAGGCTGCATCAGGAACACTTGAATGAAAGTCTTGCCTGGCGTGGTCTGAGCTGCTTTCTCTTTGAGGGTGTGCTTAGCATGAGGCTCTTACCATGGAGGAAATGTTCTGTTCGTGAATGGCTGGCATCGGAAGCAGCTGTTTATTTGAGTAGTCTGTTTGTTCATGGGGGATGCTGCCGCCTCCCCTGCCTTAGAAAAGCGCATGTGTCGACCCACTCAGCCGTAAGACCGTCCATTTGGAAGTGAACGGTATACCAAAGTTTTAAATAAATAAGCAGAACGCCCCCACTCCCAGGTCAGTGGGAGTTGGGATGGACCGGACTTGCAGGAACAGGGGAACTGCCATTTTTGTAGCTGACCCAGTTGGTGCAGTGTTCAGTTTTCACAGATGCTGGATTTTTTCCCCAAAAATACATATATTGCAGTTTTTAAAAACTGTTAATTTCAGCTCAGCTTTATTTTACACCAAGCTAATAAGCAGGCAGATGGTTGGCCTATGCAGTTGAAAAGGTTCTGGAAGCAGGTGGCGGAAAAGGGCTTTCTGTGGTGTCCCCGTCCCTGCCTTTTGGAGCCGCAGCTGCGCTTGGGGGAGCAAGTGCTGTTCTAGATGGAGCAGGGGCCGGATGTGGGGGCTCTGAAAAATGATCTTTTGACAAACCTCTCTCTCTCAGGGATCACAAATTAATAGGCACTCTGGTTGTTCCACTTCTGGCTGCAGTAGCTAAGCCTGCGTCAGAAAGTCGAGGGCAGGCACCTGCTCCTGCTGGTGACACCCAGCTCTTTTCTTGGCAGCTGAGGCCCGGAGCGTGTGGAAGGCCCGAGCCGTGGCACAGTCACCCTCATGGGCCGGATGGGAGCTGCCACACCGGGACTCAGCCCCGGCACAGTGGAGGTACAGTGGAGCCGCAGGTCGGCCAGTCCAGGGCGGAGAAGCTGCTTGTTTTGGGTCTCGCTAGGGTCCGGTTGAGGCTTGAGGGATTTCTGGACCTGCAGTTCCTCCTGGGGGAGTGCAGATACCTGCTGGGGCCAGGAGTGCCTGTTGCACCCTTTCCTGGAGAGGCAGGTCTGGCCATGGCGTCCCATTGCTGTGCGCTTCCCTGCCCGTGTTGCGTCGTTTTTACATAAACTCTGCTGACTGCCGATCGACAGAATGAATGTTCCAGGCACAATTCAAGGTGCCCTTGAACAGCTTGATGGCAGCTTATCTGAGAGGCTGCCACTTCCCATTTGATTTACGTAGTTATTTCATTTATTCCTTGTACTTCCACCAAAATAATGCCCTGCACTTCCTTTACATTGCTTAAAGGTAAGGGGGAAAATCTGCAGTCAAGACATTTGAAGAAGACTCGAATCTTTTTCTGGAAAGATCATCAAGAATAAGGATGTTTCACTGGAGACCACGGATGCTCTTGTATCCTCCATCACCACGCCTGGGTGTGAAAACTGGGCAGCGAAGGAGGCCGACAGGAAGAACAGGGATGCATTCGAAGAAAGGAGAGCTTTGTGCATATCCCAGACCAACCGAAAGTGGCTTCTTTATCAAATCAAGCCGACACTTTTCTTAGAAGCAAAACATGGCAGAACTGGCGCTGTCGTACTTTGGGCATGCTCTGTGAAAGCAAGACTCTCTAGGCGATGATGTTAGGAAAAGGAGAAGGCAGAAGAAGAGGGGGAAGGCCCAGGATGAGGTGGATGGACTGCATAAGGAAGCCACGGCCTTGAAGTTACATGTCCGGGACAGGATGCTGCATTCGCAGGGTTGCTGTAAGTCAGAGATGACTTGTTTCCAGTTGGCGGTTGTGGCATCAACGCCAACTCTGGACACACTGAGCCCCCTGAGCTTATGGTGTCACGTGATCCCAGGAAATCTGTCTTTTAGATTATCTTAATTCTGCTTTAACAGTTTACCAGTGATCTAGTTTTTTAAAAGTTTAAAGAAGGGTTTAAGTTTTAGTTGTAAATCATGATGGAGGTCATATTCGGGCTGAAAGGGCAAGTCACAATTCATCAATACATTTCATTTAGTATTGTTCTAAAAGGCCAATTAGTTTTACAGACAGTAGGAACACCTTCAGTGGTGGATTTCCCCCAGAACACGTGAGTGTTTGGAAGCCCTCGGCCCACCTTTCCAGCTTCGTGCGCTGCCCCAAAAGGCCCAGAGGGCACGAGGTCGGAGAAGCCGGCTTGTTTGCAGTGACAAGGCATCTGCCAGACCGTAGCCTTTCAGCTCCCTGGAACCTCCACCTTTTGTCACTGCTGCTTCTTTGCCAAGGAAAATGAAATTCTTTAATGTTTGCGGATTGCATAATATTTGTGTGGTTATGATTCTTCCATGTGGCACTGAAGGGGACTTGGAAACTGTCGGTTGCCTGTACGGCAGGTCACTGGTCAGTGGACTGGGAAGTTCTGTGGGGTTTTTTGCCAAGAGCATCTTGAACTGAAGTGGCCCCACTGGAGACCCTTCCTATGTGCGTCCCTTACAGCTTCTGTACAATTGCCTCTCTTTCCCGGGCTTTCATGGAACGTGGAGGCGCTCGCTTTGTAGTCTGTGCCAGTGCCCTTTCTGGTGTGCGTCAGTTGTGGCATGGTGGCATGCACGTTGTCTAGATCAGAACCCTTTTGTTGAGGCGTGCGGGGGGCCAGGGCGGATCTGTGCCGTTCTGGGCAGCAACCTTTGCTCAGGTTGAGATGCAAAATGGATCTGCTTGATTTGCATTGTATACACAGGTTCCTGTATTCGGGTTTCCTTGGTGCCAAAGTATGAGCCGAATGTTTTGCAGGGAGCAAAGGAGGGGTCTTCGTTTGGGGCAGTATCTCTGGAAGCCACGTGAAACAAACACCAGGCCTTTAGATCTGTGAGACTCTTCCACTTGTGGATTAGTGAGGCTAAGCAGCGGTCCAGCCTTTAACTGGCTCACTGCCCAGTTCTTCTCAAAGTCAGACATGATCCTGGTGGTCGAGTCCCCTTTCTGCAGACCTGCAAGTTCAGTTTCTCTGCCTGTTCTGGAGTGCCGATTTCCTTTCGGACTTGGCCTGATGTGCAGCTCTGAGTTGAAGCCCTGGCAGTGGCGTTCGCTTGCTGCTGCAGGGGTGGCCAAGCCTCGAGGGAGGCCTTCCTCCCTGCTGCCAAAGGTCCCGAGGCAACTTTTCAGTTCGTGCAATGCAAGATATTTCCTCCCTGCATTTTATTGGAGGGGGGGGAACTGAGGGCAGCCCCCCTAATCCCTCTCCGGGAGGCAAATCACATTATTCTGTTTCAACCAAACCAAGCTTGGGGCTACCTTAACAAGAGTATTAGCTGAATATTTATATCCTGAGTTTCTGTTTCACATAATAAATAAATATTAATTCAGATAATTTATAAATATTAATTTATTTTAGGGTTTATACTTCATAATTCAATGAGTTCCCAGGGCAGTTTGCAAAGAATCACAATTTATAATAATCACAAATTTAAACAAAACATTCAATAAGGAGAGACTAAAGAGAACCCTGAAAAGAGAAGACTGAGGGGGGACCCGATATCCCTCTAGAAGTACCTTGAGGGCTGTCACAGAGAGGAAGGTCAAGAGCTCTTCTCACCCATCCCAGAGCGTAGGACACGGAAGAATCAGCTCAAGTTGGGACAACCCCGATTAAGGCTGGACATCAGGAAGAGCTTCCTCACGGTCAGAGCAGTGTGACAGTGGAACCAGCTGCCCAGAGAGGTGGGCTCTCCCACACTGGAGACATCCAGAAAGGAACTGGACGGCCATCTGAGTGGGATGGTGTAACGTGGTGTCCTGCAACGGCAGGGGTTGGACCCGATGGCCTTCATGGCCACTTCCACCTCTGCTATTCTATGAAAAGTGGGAAAAGGCCATTCAGAACTCTCAAGTGGTAGAAGCTGAAGTATTATGCACCAATAGGTCGAAACTAAAACCTCTCCTAGATGGCACGGTGTATTTATAAAAGCCTTGTGGCAGAAGCGGTCCCAAATCCAAGAAGAAGTATCCTTGCTTGATAACTGCAGGCGCATCTGAGGAGCAAAACCGCATGCGTGGGTCACGTGGGCCTGAGAGTCCTGAGGCCCCATCAGTGACGGTGTCACAGAAAGCTCAAGTCTGCACAAGAGAAGCGCCCTGCCCCTTTGCAAAAGCAGTCGTGGGCGGCAAAATCGTCATACCATCACTGGCGCTGAGACGGAGAGGCAGCTATGGTCTTGGTTAGGCCTGGTGCTATGCTCGACTCACACAGAATACCCTGAATTTTGGAGCAATCTTAGCTGTTTTCAGGGTCCGAAAAAGCTCCTGGTTCCCCTTCTTTCTGCAAGCAGGACGAACTGTTAATTTTGGATGAAGAGCTGGGAGTTATGGGTGCTGCAGTGGCCTTTCTGCAGCCAACAGCTGTGTAATAAATGAGCATATTAGAGATGGCAAAAATTGGAAAACCAACAGGAATGATTACCTCTTTATGGCTTCCCTTCTGCTTTGCTCCCCCTTCCACCAAGTAAAGTGGAGGAGAAATTTTCTGACAAAAGCATCATTTAAGTGGCAAAACTGAGGTGTGTCATGGAGGAGCTGGGAGATCCTTCCGTAACTATGAAATGTAATCTTCAGTTCTCCAGAGGTGCTAGCCTGCTTCAGCCTGCCATGTGCTGGTTTGCAACGGAGAGCTCTTTGCTTGCAAAGTTTGCCATGTGATGAATTAAAAATAATAACTGAAATTGTGATTTCTTTCTTCCTTTCTGTGCTTGGCATTCCTTTAAGATTGCAGAATTGTGCCAGTGCATTGAATGTGACCTCTATAACTTTTAAATTAAGAATTTATGCCAGCTAGAAATTTATGAAATATTCCAGCCTGAAAGGGAGTTTTTCCCCCCTCAGGAAAATTGAACAATAAATCACCCAGCTTTCGATTTACTGCCCCAAGGCTGGCCAGATATAGGATCCCCCCTCCCCAGTTCTTTCTGGGGGGTGGGAATGTAATCATGTAAGACAGCTTAGCTTCTATCCTCTCATTCTTTAGAATTTTTAATTTCAGCTGTTTCTGCTTGGATTTATTTCCAATATTCCTGCTTGGCTTTTCAATTTCCTCAGTTATTAAATTTTAATTCAATGCATTAGCATTTAAATTAAAAAAGGGGGTTATTTTATCGAACTCGCTTTCTCTATTGCCCTGAATTGGTTGGTTTCTGCCATTTGTGCAAAAAAAAAAGAAAAAGAAAAAAAAAGCAAGAAAGAAAGAAAGAAAGAAAGAAAGAAAGAAAGAAAGAAAGAAAGAAAGAAGAAAAAAAAAGGAAAGAAAGAAAAGGAAAAAAGTGGAATGTATCCAGTCTCTCCTAATATACATTTACACAAATTATAGAATAAAGAAATGATCTGGGTTTGAAATAGCACTGTGCGTTTTAGGAAATCTCTTCCTCTGAGATTTTTGAAGGGCCTCTGCCCAGCAATGTTGTTGCTTTCTTTCCAGGGGAATTTTAAATTATCCAGGCAGCTAGTGGAAAAGGCGGTTTTCTCCATTTAGGGAGAGGCTTGGCTGGGGCTGGCTAAATTCTCGAAGGAATTCAGTCGGTGGGCGGGGAGCAGGGGCACGGCAGGCTCCCTCGGGCCTTGGGGCCACGGTGGCTGGGCACGCCCTGTCACGGAGGGATCGCCTCCGGAGCGCCCCGTTTGGTTCTGGCCTCACAGGTCTCGCATCCTGGAAAGCCCGGGCATCATGCCGACGTTTCCGTCCTTTATGGCTAGCGAAGACGGGCGTGGAGCCGCTGGAGATGGCCGACGCTGGGCAGCCCCTTGCCGCCCACTGGCCGCTTTCCTCCCAGGCGGCCCAGGGCTGCCCCCCACCCAAAGTGGGGCTCCTGAAGCACTGGCCCCCCTCATGGGCCCTCGCCCCAGGCGGGTCTCCCCGGGCCCTGGGAGGCCGTGGCCGGGGCTACCGGCCGGGGGTTGCTTCGATCGGAGGGCCACGGCAGAAGCCGAGCAGCAGTATTTCTGGGACTCGATTCCCACGGATTCGCTGGCCCAGTGGCCCCCGTAAGCTGCAGTGGCCTGGCCGCCCTCTCTGTGCTGCGTGGGGCAGGGGGTTCAGGCGGGACATCCTTGTACTATAGGAATTATAACAGGTATTGCATTTATTTCCCACCTTCGTTCCTTTCAAGGAACTCAGGGCAGCTCCATAATTCTCCCCTTTATCCTCACAGCGGCAACAACCACCCTGTGTGGTGGGCTGACCCAAAGTCGCCCAGTGGGGTGACTGAGTGGATTAGGCGCCCGCATCGCCGTGTCCCTGCCCCATGCTCACCTGCTGTCTCTCGCCGGCGCTGCCCTCCCTCGGTATCCGGGTCTTGCCCACGGCCACCGTGCCCTTCCCGGCCACTTGGCAGCCCCACGGACTAGGAAGGGGCACATTTCCTCCTCTGGGAGCCTCCCCCCACGCGAGACTCGCGCATGGTGGCAGGCGGGTGCCATCAGCTCTCAGTGTCCACCTGAATCGCGCCTGTCTGTGTGGCGTGTGCTTTGCACTCCCCGCACTGTTTCAGCGTGTTTGCGCATTTTTCTCGCGACTGCGTGGCCTCGAGACCTCTAACATGCCCCCCTCTCTTTTCCAGACTGAGGGGAGCAGCAGCATCGGGACAAGAGCATCTGCAAGCAGGTAAACGACGCGGGGTGTCTTTCTGGGCGTGGGAACCACAGAGGGGCCTTACTGGAGGAGTGGGGCAAAGGGGGCTTGCTTCGGCTGGTATGCGGCGAATTTCGTTGGAATTGTTAGCACTGGATTTTCGCAGCTCCCTGGGGCAGAAGGCCCAGGCAGGTTGGCCTTGACAGACCCAATTATCCTTAACCTTGATAAACCGAACCTAGGATTCTGCGAATATATCTGTACGTGGAGGGCGCCAGCTGGGGAAGGCTGCTGCAAGCACGGCTCCTCCCTGCCCAGGGCCGGGCACCGTTGCGGACCAGGTGGCTGGTGCCGCCTGGCTGGCCCAGGGCCGTTTCTTCCCCGGAAACATGGCAGGGAAGACGAACCCCTGGAGCCCCCTTGGAGGCGCCCAAAAGTTGACGGGTGAGGGGTTGGCGAGGCAGCGGGGGAGTGGGGGGGCAGCATTCTGCACGGGACGAGTCGCGGTTCCTTCCAAGTGTCGCACAAATTTCCCGGAAACCTGATGCCACTGCTCAGGGCCGCTTAAAGCATTTGCTGCCCGCCCGCCCTCAGTAGCTCCACGTTTGATCTTGCGTGGAATCGCGGCAGCGTTGGAGTGTGTGCTCTCCTCCTCTTCTGCTGCCGTCTTCTGAGAATTACGTGAGAAATTATTCCTAGCTAGAAGAAATGGCCTCTCGTAATTGGGTCCCCCTGCCGATCCTGAGTCTCCTTCATAACGCAGGAGTGTGTGCTTTTCAAACAGCGCTTGGGCCCTTGTTTTATTATTCATGGATGTTTCCCCGCATCTGAAAAATTCAGACTCCCAGTGCCATGAGATCCGTTCCTTTCATGCTGTTGCTGTTTGTTTCTCATCCTCACAGGAGGAGCATGGACTGATTTGTGGCCGATGTTTAAAATGCTCCCCTTATCACTGATGCAGATAACTGTATTTGAATTCCCTGCGTCTGTAGGTGGAACCCCAAGGAGGAATCCGAGGAAAGCGCTCGCTCGCGCTCCTCAAACAGCACGGCTGGCTCAGGGCAGGAGCATCTGCCTGCACGGAGCCGGGTGGCAGCTAGCTTGGGGGTGCGGGGGGGGGGGCTCTCCGGAGCGCCAGTTGGAGGTCACCGGCACCGGGGCCGCCACAGTCCTGCTCTCTTCCCTGCTGTGGCTCCCTCGCTTCTCCGCCAACTGAATCTGCTTTTCGCACTGGATCCAGTGATCAGGAAGTCCTCCTGGTGGATCGTTTTGCTCTGTGAAATCAGGCTAGTTTTGGCAACCGATGCCTAAAGCAGAGTCCCAGAGCAGGGGTAAAATAAGCCCGAGATCCCCGTTCTTTAAGCAGGCATGAGAAGAGTTGGGCCAGAACTGGAATATCTGCCGCTGGGTCAGGCCAAAGCGGCCCCACTTAGCTCTTGCGCAGCCAGATGCCTCCAGGGCGCTCAGTGTCCTTGCCCTTTGCCAAGGCTGCCCCCCAGCAGCTGCTTGGCCCCTGAGCCCGAGGGCTCCATGGGGCACTGTGGCCGGCACGCCTCCCTCCCCTCAAGGGGGCCGGCCATGCCATGGTTTTCCCATGGCCCCACTCTGCCTGTTTGGATCCGTCGCAACGCAAGCGCGCCTGGCCTCGTGGCACGTCTTGCTGCTCCTTGCAGCAGCCCTGTAGGGTAGGGCCACCGTTTCCCTTTTTTGAGTGCGGCTGGGCTGTGACTTCCCCAGTGGCCGAAATTAGTCCTCAGGCAGCAGAGCCCCCCTTGCCCTTCCCTTGCACGCTCGCCTTGCTGGCCAGGGGGCGCGTGCCTTTCCTGTGTGCGCGTCCCTGCGAAGGACGCTGAACCGCAGGAACATGGAAAGCGGTGGGTGGGGAGCCCCCTGGCCTTGGCCTCGTGTGAAGCTGAATGTGCTGAGTCCCCCTCCCCCCAGCAGGATTGCCAGAGAAGGGACACTTTCAGCGGGGAGCAGACGAGGGAGGGGTCCGCCCCAGCTGCCCCCCAGCTGCAGGGCCACCCGGGGGCCGGCGGGCGCAGCACATGCTGCCCAAGAGCTCGTTGCAGGAACCTTTGCTTCCTCTGCCCCACTTCCTTTCCCCACCAAGGGAGCGCCTGAAGAGGTCTCAGAAGAGCATGAAGGCGGAAGGCTCTGCTCCAGCGGCGTCTCCGTGCTCGCCCAGTGAGGAGGTGCCGGCGGCTGCAACGATGACCGAGGTGAAGGTGAAGACGGAGGTCCCGGACGACTACATCCAGGAAGTGATCTGGCAGGATGACACCAAAGATTCCAAGAAGAACGTGAAGGACGGGGCAGGAGAGGTGCCAGCGGAGATCTGTGTGGTGATCGGAGGTGTCCGCAACCAGCAGACACTCGGTAAGCTAGGTCGGTGGTCGCTGCTTGGCTTCACCTTCTCAGGGAAAGGGGTGGGCAGGGGAGGGCGGGGGGCAGTTGGCCTGCTTTTGGGTGATGTTGGCGGAACGGCAGCCTGATGTCTGGGGTGCTCTGTCCCTGTGTCTTCAATGCGGCTGTTCCCCAATGAGGGAACCCTTGCTCTCCCCGTCAGATTAACTTGCTCTCCCCGTCAGTCAAATCAGCAGACTCGCACAAGACTACAAAGCAGGGGGTTTGAAGCAGGCGTGGCGGGGCGATCCCCCCTCTCTTATTTTTCAGCATGCCTGCCAGTGTCCCTCTTAGAAGAGGCCTCTTCTAACCTTGGCAAGGGAGAACGCGGAGCGCCTCTTCTGAGATCTAGCTTGCCTGCAGCGGTTCTTTCCAAAGGCCCCCGTGCTCCCCTGCTGCCTGGAGCTCCTGCTGCAAGGCGTGGCGATGGTCTGGGTCCCCCTCGGATGCCAGTGTGGCCCTCGTGGGGACCCGGTGTGGGCTGGAGGCCTGTGTTCGCACCCGGCCAGGCGTTCCTTTTGAGACCCTGCCTGTTCAGGGCCAGTGGGCCTCTGAGGACCAGGCACTGGGGGTGCGAGTCGGGGCACAGCCCGTGGCTCTGCACCCCAGAAGCAGCGCCTGCTCGGTTGCTGTCGGAAACCCCGAGCTCACGATCTCTTGCATGCTCTGGGAAGGCTGGTCTTGGGGCCTTGACATCCTCAGCCTGGCAGAGGGGTTCCCGTTGGCCAAGTTGCTTCTTTTCTTCTTGAGTTGAAGATTGCTTCTTCTCAGATTGAAAAAAAAGGTTGAAGAAAGTCAAGAAACAGCTTTAAAACCCCACCATCTGGATGCAATGTATAATATTTCAACATTATTTTAAAGATTTCAGGGCAGCTATTTCAAACTCACAGATCATTTTGTTTCCCAGTTTATGAAACTTGCATTCATTGGTGAGGAAAGTCACTCGTGATTTTTTTAATGTGTTGGATTTTTTTAAGCAGATACGTTCCTTGCCACTTGTGCTTTGATAGATTCATTTCCTATGAACATTTTTCATACTTTAAAAAGGAAAATCAGTATGCTCCAAAGCCCCAGCACATGGGAAATTCTTTCAAAGGAGTGATTGCTCAGCACTAGGGCTGAACACACTTTAGATTTACAGGACTGGCTTTGTTACATATTAGAAAACCCCCAAATATACTTAGAATTCAACTGTCCGGAGCCTAGGAATTCCATACAAGTTCCAGAATTTGTACTGTGTTCACACAAAAATCTGCTCTCAGCAATTCCAGGCGTTGTTCATGCCAGCAGCAGAATTTGGCATGTGGGGGGAGCCACGGGGCAGGATTTTGTTGTTGCTCTTCCATGAGAGGGCATTCCGCATTCCAGGCCATTCCACATGGTCTCCCCGAGATCCCCCAGAGCCCCCGGTGTGCTTCCTGCTCACCTTTTTTAATGCTGGCAGCTAAAATCGGAGAGAACCTCCCCGGCCTGCAGCATGTGCTCTGCTGGGCAAGTGAAGATGCTCTTGTAACAGCTGAGGCCCCCAGCAATCCCTCGCGAATCTGTTCGGCTGCCTCGCTTTGCACCGATTTAAGGGCTTGGAGAGGAAGACGCACGAGGATCTGCTTCTCGCAGGAGAAGAGACCAGTGCGTGCCTGCGCATGAGCTCCCCCTTCTGTTCTGTTCACGGTCGGGAGCTAGGCGGATAGCAGAGGTCGGGGAGCAGTACCGGGATCCTGGCATGCGAGCAGGGGGGACAAGGGGCGGGGCGGGGGCGGGTGTTGCCAGCCGCTACACCTGCCTGTGCCCCAGCAGGCGTGAAGGGGTCACATGTGTAGAATGTGGGGTGCATCTTAAAAATCCCCCTTTTGTACAGCTCTGAAGTGGCTCCTCGTTTCTTTCCCTCGAGGATGAAAGGAACGGTGAGACTTGGCCCTGAAATGGGGAGGGGGCTGCTCTGCAGCCGCCTGGCCAGCCCTCGCCACCCGCTCTTCCTCTGAAGGGTGTGGATGCTTTGCACGCTATTTGTGAAAAGTCCCAGCCTCAAGTACAGGCGGGCGTGCGCTGAGCGAACAGCGGCCGAGTCCGCACAGCTACGTCGGGCCTCCTCGTTGCATCGCGAGGACAGCTTGCTTGTTGAAGGTTCCCTCCTCGTCTTCTCCTGAGCGGACTGGTCTCTGGTAGTCCCTCCCAGTCCAGGAGGGGTGGCTTGGAATTGCCTTGGTGAGCCACTCCTCCGTGGCCGCTCCCTCGCATCCAAGGGTCAAGCATTTGACACCGTCTGATCCAAAGGGTGTTCCAGATTGCTGCTCTAGCCTTGCTCACTAAATTTCTCCTCCTCCTGCCTTTTGATTTCTCTCCCTTATTTAAAAAAAGCCTCTACAAAAGTATGCCTGTCCGGCTTGCCTTCCCACCCTCGTTGAGCTTCCAAACCTCAGCTCTTCGAACTCTTGTTTCTCATCTCTCTCCATTCTTCTTCCCCTCCCCAACCCTGGCAATGGCACGCCGAGGCCCATTCGGGAAGTCTAAGGGGGTACACCGCCCCAGCAGACGGCCACTACCTGGGGAGAGCCGCGTGGTGCCGACCTGTGTTCATGGCCAGGCCTCCACCGAAGAGGCTAGGAAGCAGTGATCCAGCCACCTCCGGGGCGAGCTGTGGAGCAGGCCCTCCGTGGAATGGATTCTCCCCCGCTGCCATCCCCTTGACTGCCCTGGAGCTCCAGCAGCTCCCGCCCCGGCCATCTCAGCCGCAGCCACAGGATCCACCACCGACCCAGGACACTCCTTGGGAGTCGCTAGGGCAAAAAGGCGGCCAGGAAGGCTGCAGCAGTGGAGCGCGTGGCCTCGAGTAGGCCGCGGGCCAGAAAAAGTGCTCCAGAGTGAGGCCCGCCAAGGGTGTGTGCAAGACCCCGTCAGTACTGGCCCCTCAGTGCTGACACGCACCGCCCCATGGTGAACTCTCATCGGGCAAGATCCGGGACCCAGCGCCTCCACTGGCCGAGTGCGCACCGAGGTGCAGCACAGCTTCCAGCCGCGGGAGGTGAGACCAGCGGGGAGCCCGTGTGGGGAGCAAGATGCAGAAACGGCCAGCCAAGAAAGAAGGCAGAGCGCTCACGGGGGAGCCCCCCTACAGCCTGGGCTCCAGGGATGACACGGAGATGGTCTGTCAGCAGTCCAGCCTCAAGACGGGCCTTGCGGCCTTGAGACCAGGCAGGAGGGGGTGGCACAAGGCGCCGGAGCCCCGCCGCGGCTCTCCCTGTGGGGGAGCCGAAGAGCCGCCGCCTCCGGGGCAGCCTCAGAGCAGCCTGAGCCAGGGCAACCGAGATCCCCCGTCCACGCGTGAAGCCCGGTTGGACCACGGGGAGAGGGCATGGGCTCTGGCAATCTCGCAGGGCTTCCGCTCTCGGTTGGCGCCCAGAAGGGCTCCTAAGGGAAGCTCTGGCTCATGAGCAGCAGGCCAGGTTCAGCTTTCGTGCTCAGAGGCTTGCACATCAACGAGCAGAATTAAACGGAGGGCCAGGGCCTGCGAACTGCCTTCCGGGGCAGCAGTCTGGGATCTGCCCTCCCGCCCCTTGCGCTTCCTCCATGGCATCGGCGCCCGTCGTCTCCACAGCAGCGCCTGTGTCCTCCGTCCTCCGTCACGTCGTGTCCAGCACACCAGAGGGGCCCCCCCACCCTGACGGGGGCCTGCTGTCCTGCCTCACGGCGGTGAAGGTTGCCCCTGCTCAGACGGGTAGCTGAAATCATTGGAATGGTGCTTAGTTGGGACCGTTCAGGCCAAGCACGGTTGCCCGCTGGGCTTTGGCTGCATCCTCCGGGCTCGATTTGGAGGCCTGGGTTACCGGCCTCCACCTTGAGCCAGGTGGCATCTCCTTGCGCTTGCTTCCTTCCCCCACTTTTCTGCTGTGTGTGCCTCTCACGCAGTGCAGCTCCTTTTTCCTCTCCTGCATTTCGGCGTCCTTTTTGCCTGGGTCTTCGCTCGGTGAGGCGGTGGCCGTGGCCCCCTCTGCAGCACGGTCGCGGCCTCTCCAGTCGGGGCAGGCGGCCACTCCACAGGGCAAGCAAGGCGCGGCAACGAGTTTAGTCTGCACTGTGAGAAGACAAGTTTCCCTCAAAATGAAAATCAGCTGTAATTCAGGAAGGCCATGTGTTGTGTTCAGCTGGTGTAATCTTTGTGCATTGTTGCATCTTGAAAATGCAGATGGGTTGTTCCCTTTAAAGAGGCCCCTTGTCTGGTCTTGCTCTCCTGAAGGGGCAGCGCCCCATCTCGCTGGGTGGCCCCCAGCGCTGGCGTTACACGCGGGAGGAGGCCCCCGCCCGGTCGTCGCTGTCGCCACTTGCCGTTCCCTCTTCAGCCGCCTCCGTCCACGTTCCGTTCTCCAAAAAGCTCTACACCTGCCGTTTGCCATGCTGGCCAGGGACGGCGGGAGGTGTAGCCGCCACGCACCTGGAGGGCACCGCACATCTGGTCTGAGGGGGCCTGCTCCAGCACGGTCGCCGTTGCGCTCAGCAGCGTGGGCTCCTGGGATGTGGCTCTGGGTGGCCTGGGGTCCTCCTCCTGCCTGCTGCATCCGATCTGATGTGGCCACGCGTTTGTTTTTCAGGTTCTTATGAGTGTGGAATATGTGGAAAGAAATACAAGTACTACAATTGCTTCCAGACCCACGTCCGAGCACATCGAGGTACCGGTCTCCCGTTCTCCCATGCGCAGCTCAGATCGATCGTGATAAATGTTTTCCGAAAGGTTCTGCTGTTACATTAAGGCAGGAGTTCTGTTCGGGGCCGGTGGGTTCCCAGGATGTTCTCCAGCCGCACGCGCTCGCTTAAATCCGCTTGGGTAACATCAAGTAAACTTGTCACGAAGCAGTGAGCAAGCTTTTGAGTTCAACAGAACACTTCTTCATGGTGGATGCTAACCTTGCCAAAGGGGGGGTGGGGAAGAGAAGAGAGAGACAAAGCTGGGCCTTGTAGAAAAGCCCTGAGCTCTGCTGGCTCTGGGGACAGCGAGCACACAGCAGACCTTGCCGGACCTGGCGCAGGCCTTGCGTGCAAGAGGGAGACCCGGGGCCCCCGAAGGCTCCTGTAGGAACACGTCGTTTTGTTTCCATGCTGTCCAACAGCTGAAGCTCCCCAGTCGGTTTACAGCAGCAGACAGAATATAGTGAAAATACAATATAAAATTCAGATAATAATAAACAACAGCATAAAATTTCAGTATAAAATATACAAGATAGAATTCAAGCCAAATTAAGAAGCTGCAATAGTTTTCACCAATTAACTTGCAAGTTGTGTTAAGCAGCTGCCGTAATGCCCCGAGATAATATTTAGGCGCCCGAAATGCCCTCACAGAGGGCAGCCTCAGCCCAGTGCTGAAAAGATGGTGGAGTCGGGGCCAGGCGAGCCTCTGTGGGCACCTTCTTCCCGAACTGGAGTCTGCCACTGGGAAGGTGGGCCCCAGGCCTGGATGGCCGTGTTTGGTAGGGTGCTGCTGGGAGAGGCCTTCTGTCCGGCCCCCCGTGCTTGGGTATGTAACGCTTTAAGCCAGCTGCCCGAGTTGGGCCTCATCGGTGTGACGTGTCTGGACCTGCGGGTCCTGATGAATAACCCGGCTGCTGCGGGTTGCCCAGCTGGCACCTCCTTCGTGTTTTCTGCCTTTCGTGTGGCCGTTTTGTGCCGGATAATTTAGGAACTGCCCTTTAAACCTTTGCCTCCAGGCGCCTCGGGATCCAAAGCCAAGCTGCATGTTCTGGGATTTGCGGCCTCCAGTTGTTCTGGTCTGCAGTTCCCATCATCCCTGCCATGGTGCTGGCTAAAGCCACGGGCAGCATGACTGGCAGAGGGCCCGGTGCCCGCCCCACTGCAGGCCAGGGAGCCCGCGTGGCCCGCGCCTCCTTGCACCCAGGCGGAGAGTGGCTCTGTCGGAGGTGCCTTGCCCCGGGGGGAGCCTTCTGGTCACGCAGCATGCGAGAAAAGGCAGCGAGGGGCCCCGTCTCCCAGCGATGTGCTTGCCAGAGGTTTGCTGTCGTTTCTAAAGCCGGCCTTTCTCTCTGCGTAGACACAGAAGCCGCGTCGGGCGAAGGAGTCTCCCAAGGCAGTAAGTACCACCGACCTTCCTGCATGCGCCAGGGGAGGGGTCCTCAGCCAGGGCCAGCAGCGGCCGCTTTGCATGCGGAGGGCCCCGGAAGGCGGATGCTGAGGCGAGGCCTGCGGTGCTGGGCCAGGCGGACCCAGGAGGGCGCCCCAAGGAGGAAGGGCTCGCTGCGCCCCGGACTGCCGAGGGGAGCGCGCAAGGCTGGTCCCGTGGCCAAGCCGGGGACGAGGTGCCGTTTTACATCTCCGGAGCCCAGGGTTGCTTCAGTGCCCCCTCTCTCTCTCTCGCTCTCTCCCCCCGCTCCTCTCCTCCCTTAGAATGGAGGCATGAGCATCCTTGGCCTTTCTGCCGCCACGATGTTTGAAGTGGTCTACACAGAGAGTGGTGCGAAGCAGGCATGCGCCTCGCCGGCAGGCGCTGCAGCTGCTGTGCCGGGCCAGGCCCACGGGGCCCGGGGCTCAAATCCCTGTGCAGCCGGGGTGCCCCCGGGGCCACCGTGGCCCAGTCTGCCCAACGCACTCAGCGAAAGAATAATAACGGGTGGAGGGGGCCACGTGAGGAACCACGTCATGCCCTGGCCGGAAGGGCAGGATGAGACGGCTTTGGCAGCCAGGCACAGCCCTGCCCGGCACACTGGTGTCTCGCTGTCCAACAGATGTTTGTGCTGTGTGCGGTTAAAAGTGTGCAGGCCATAGGAGGGGTGGTGCAAATCAAAACAGCAGATGAAACCAATGGAACCAGCCATTAATAACCCACTGAAAGCATCGTCGGAGACATGCAATAGGATTGGGTGTCTGGGAGACCAGGATGGCCTAAAAGAATCTGGATCTTAAAGGAATCTGGATCCCAGAGCGTGTGACTGGGGAACGCCCTGGGCTCCCCACCAAGAATGGCTGGGCAGCTGCCCCCCTTTCCCGCCGTGCTTCGCTCTTGTGCCCGTTGTCAGCCATTCTCTGCCTCAGCACCCAGGCAGCCCCCCGACCTTCTGCAAAACTGTTCCAACCCCCCCCAAGGGAAATGAACCTGATGCTTAAAAAGGGAACAGTTCAGGGGAGACCTTCTCTTATACACCTCCCAAGCTGCCCATTCCAAGATTGGTGATACTCTTCTTCTGAGGCCATCCAAAATCCAACCCGGACCTTGACTGGATGGGCAGTTCTGGGGAAGAGAAAGAACAGAAACGAAGCTCTTACGGTTCCGTCCGTGCTAAGAAAAAGCATCCCTAAAGCACAAAAAACGAAAGTAATTTCCTGCCAGGGTGGGTCTTCAGAGAATAATAATGTTCCACTGGTGGAAAGGGGGTGGTGAGGCTTTTCAAGAATTTGAAAGTTTAAAAATTTAAAACCTATTTACAAGAATAGGTCTCCTGGCAACATCCCCCACCAACAGGAACGAAACGGGAGAAGGACCCACAACTAAATTTGTGGAGGGGCCTCATCTTGCCCCGCGTTCTTGGGCATGAGGGATGTTTAATTCTAGTAATCCTGCAAAGTCAGGAGAAATCTCGACGTCTGTCGGTGCTGGACAGGGACGTTCTGCCCCTGCGCCGTTTGCTGCCCATTCCTGATCAGAGCTTGCTCCCGTGGTCGGGGCAGACGAGACTGGGCGGCTGAGGGTGTGCGGGCAGCGCGGCGGCTGCAGGCCCGCCGGTGGTCCGGGGACGGCTGGGGAGGACCGGCTGCGGCGGAGTCGCTCAGCCCCGCCCTTTCTCCTTGCAGACAACTTTAGGTACACCTGTGACATTTGCGGGAAGAAGTACAAATACTACAGCTGTTTCCAGGAGCACAGGGACCTGCACGCAGTGGATGGTGAGTCTCCCCGGGGGCCTCTCGGTAGCGGCTCAGCCGTCCGGCCGGGTGGGGCTCAGTGCCCCGCGCGCGAGGCCAGGCCAGGCCAGGCCAGGGCTCAGGGGCTGCTTTCCTGCTCTGCTCCGCTCCGCTCCGCTCCGCTTGAGCCAAGATCGGTCGAAGCAGCCGGGGCCAGGAGCCACCGCCCGATCTCGGCTTGCTTCAGGAAGCTGTTGGCTTCAGGCCCGTGCGGCCTGGCCCAGCCTGGCCGTGACCGCAAGCAGCAGCTCCCTGGCCCGGGGCCGCTTCCGGTTCTCCGGCAGGGGCTCCACTGGGGCAGGGCAGCAGGCGTCCGCTGGAGCCGCCACTTCGCGCCTTCCCTGCCCGCCCTGCAGCTTCAGCAAAGCCCCAGAAAAGGGACGCGGGTGCCGGCTGGCTCGGCCGCCCAACAGGGTCACTTCGTGGTCTCCCTCATTCATGGGGGGCCAGCAGCCCGAAGGTGCATAAGCGGCAGGCACGCAGCGGTCTGCATACGGCTCGGAAATTTGGACGCTGCGATCCTAAGGGATTCCTTTGCCTTGACTCTCCTTCGGGCGCACGTGGGAGTAAGTGGCCACAAACCAGAGCGCACTCCGGCAAGAGCGAGTTTGGGAGGGTCCCTGGCGCCAGCAGGTGTGCGAAGGGTGTGCGGTGCACAGGCGGGTGCTCGCCCTGCTAGGAGGTGGTGGGCTGGGCTCGCCCTCTTCCGCCCAGGCTTGTGCAGGAGATGTGTGGAAGTGTAAATACTGACATCCATCGCGCCTTCTGCTTTAGCCCTGCCGGTTCTTCCCTGGTTGGGCAAATAAAATAAGCCCTGAGCTACGCCCGGAGCATGGCAACTTGCAGTGGCTTAGCCTAGGCTGGAAGGACGTGGCAGGGTGTCCGTGGCATGCTTTTGCCACTGCCCCCCACGCGTGAGTCCGCTGCCCATGTGCCAATGTCCTGGACCAAGGCACGCGCACGTCCCGGCGATCGGCGGTGGAACGCGGAGAGCCTGCCCTTAGAGTCCAGGCCATTCCCAGCATGGGAAATTTGGGCTCCCGCTCCCATCAGCCCCAGCATGGCCACCTGGAAGAGCCTCGGAAATGGTGGGAGTCCCACTCCGAGGCATGCAGAGGACACCCTGTTGGGAAAGGCGGACAGGAAGGGTTGCCGCAGCTCCGCTAGGGAGGGCATGCCAGCTCTTGTGGGTGCTTCTCTTGGAGTGGGGAGTAGCGGTGGACCGAGCCAGAGTTGCGATTCAAGGCAGTCGTGGCCGTGGAGGGTCTTCACGGCAGAGACCGTCCTGGAGGGTCTTCCCGAGTCCCCCGGCCAGCTGTGCTTGGAGCGCGGCGCTGTTCGGTGGGGTCCCGGGGCGAGCATCTCGGGGCTGGTTGGACTTGTCCGCGTGGAGCCTTGCGAGGCGCCTGGAGGGGAACGTGACGCCTGGTGCCGTGGGACGCCCTGCCGGGCTGCTGTTGGGCTTTGTGGCCGCCAGAGAGAAGAGGGAGCCGCGCAGCCGCGGGAGAGGCAGCGGCTCAGAGCGGCATGTGCTGCCTGCCTGGAAGCGCCACGGCACTGGCCGGGCCCAAAGTGGCTCCTTGACTGCTTGGGCTGGCTAGCTGGCGGCGGGGGGGGGGGGGTGAGGCGCCGCGCGCGGCGTGCAAGTTCAGCGTTTGAGGCGGGCTGGATTCTGACGGGTTGCAGTGCTGGGAATGAGATGAAGAGGCACGGTGGGAGTGTCTTCCATTCATGGCGAGATGCTAATGGCAGGCGGCCTGTCGTGCTTTGGGTGTTGGTCTGGGGCTCCTTCGGCCATGGAGCCCTGCGGGTGGCTTTGGCCAGTCCCTGACTCCTAGCCCGACCTACCTCGCAGGGTAGTTGTGAGGGGAAAGAGAGCACCAGGATCGCGAGTGCCGCCTTGGGCTCCTTGTAAGGAAGGCGGGACATAAGTGGAACAAATGAATAAATGAATATCCTGTATTGCTATTACACAAGTCTCCGTTGCATTTGGATGGGTTGGTCAGTTGGCTTAACAGCTGAATGATTGATCAACTGCAAATAACACCTTTATTTACGGAATTGGTTTCAGGAGGTGCACAGCCCTCCCTTCTTAAGTGGGAGGGAGGAACCGCGCCGGTGAGCCCGAGCATGCGTGGCACCAGAACGCCAGCTCCGTCCGGAGCAAGCGGCGTTCGTCAGTCACATGACTGATGCCACCGGAGTCCCTTAGTCTTCAAGGTGGCCACAAGAGTCCTTTTCTGCTTTTTATCAGTTGATGGCCCAAATCCAAGCAAGCTAAAAACAGCAGTGCAAGGGGAAAGTGGACTGCGAGAAATTTGTTTTCCAAGGTTTGTTCCTCTTTTTCTTGACCAATTCTACTCCAGATTTAGCCTGTGCTGTGGAATGAGAGGGGCTCTCTGCTGAATAAGCATGGAAGTGCAGCTTTCAGAGTCCTCGGCTCGCCCCCTGGCAGCTGTGGCTCGGGCTGCACCTGGCAGTGGCTGCGGGGCAGGGAGGGCTGCCCTCAGCCCCTCCCTCTCTCTCTTCTCCCTCTGCAGACCCCTACGACCAGGCGATGATTGCGAAGGAAGAAGTGAAGGAAGAGGACCCAGAGCCCTTTCAGAAGATTGGTCCAAGTATGACTTACCGAGTTTGCAACTTAAGTAAATAACCAGCTTTCGACGTATACCGTGTGCCAAAGTCCGTGCCGGGGGTAGAAATGATAGAGCTGTTCAGAGACCCAGGAGGTGCAGCTGCCTGGGGGCCATGCGTGCCGCCCCCCGGGCAGCCTGCACCTGTCCTAAGCCAGGAGGAAGGAGAACACGTCCCCAGGAGGTGGAGACCACAGCCCCGAGGAAAGTGGACAGGATTGCTCTCCGGTTTTGTGGCTGGGGAAAAGCCTTCCCATAATGTGTAACTCTATTGATATCTTGCACTTCAGGAAAAAAACCTTCCTCAGAGATGCATCTAGGACAACCCAGGTAGTAATGCCACCCTGAAAAGCACATAATGCAGTGGCACAGCCAAGGGCCGGAAACTGGCCTGCACAGCCTCAGGCGGCAGCCCCAGTTTGCAGGCGGCCCCTGCCAGCCCTTCTCTGGAGTTGCTGCAGGGATCACCCCAGCCGGCCAAGGAGTGGTGACTGGCCGGCCCACCCAGAGCAAGCGGAGCTGAAATGTCTTCCGAGCGCCGAGGAAGCCGTTGGCGGTCTCGGTGCCAGAGAAGCGTCCCGCCTGAGGGTTTTGGGTGGCTTCAGTTAAGGGTCCGGTTTGCCTCATTGCTTGGACTGATGCTGTGCAAGCAGAAGGAATCAGTCAGCACGCTCAGGGTGGTTTAATGGTTGAAACTGCTTCAGTGCTTTACTTGCAAGTTGTTTTTCTTGGATCAATTGTAGATATTTTAAGACATGGTAGCTTAATAGCATGCTCTTTCCTTATTTCAACTCAGTTCACACATCATGGTGGCAATTCCTGGGTTGTTTAATTCAGGAGTTGCAGGCATGAGCAGAGTGCGTGAGCGTCATTTCCACTTTTGGTGAACAATCCAGAGTGCCCCACAGGCAGACAAAGCCTGTGGTTTGTTGTTGACTAACTCTGGGTTGTATAACCCATAAACAACCCAGAGTTTCCAAGTTTGCACATCATGAAACAACCCAGGAATGGCGTGTTCCTGGGTTATTAAAGATCCATGCACTCGGCTCGACTCCAGAATTCCTGGGTTAAATGGCCTAGGAATCGCTGCCATGGCGTGTGAACTGAATCATGGTTGAAGTCACACAAAGGCACCACACTAATTTCAGTATTCTTAGAGAGATTTCCATCTGAAAAGACATAAATTGCAACTGTGCAGTAGCCTTATTTGACTGGTATCCTTTGCATTTATTATGCTCTTAATTACTCTTTCTTCCAGTGTGGGAGGAAAGGTTGTCGTGCTTTATTTGAGCTCGGATGGAAACTGAGCCTGGGCACGTGGCATCACTGCTGAGTGTATCAGCCCCCGCCCCCTGGTCTTGCTTCCGGCTCAGCACTGATATCCCGAAGCTTTCGTTCCTTCCCGTGGCCCCAAAAGAATCCATGATACACTGAGTTTCACGGCCCATCCAAACTGAGATTCTGGGCTCACGCCGAGGGGCTCCCACAAGCGGGTGCCTGTGGCGGTTGAGTTGCAGCTCCCCAGGAAGGAGGAGGGGGCAGAGCAGGTGCAGACGAAGGTGCTCTGCCCTCCGCTGGCACCCCCGGGCTTTCCCGCACCCCTCCCTCGGCTGCGTTCCTGAGCAGGCGGGCGATCTTCTGCCCTGCGCCTGTGATTGCCCTGTGGGTGGGCGTGGGAGCTGCCAGCAAGGGGGCTGCCCTGCCTGCCTTCCCCTCCCCTTGCCAGGCCTCTCAGAGCCTCCTTTCCTTGCAGAAACAGGCAACTACACCTGCGAGTTCTGTGGGAAGCAGTACAAGTACTACACCCCCTACCAGGAGCACGTTGCGCTTCATGCGCCCATCAGTGAGTATCCGGCCACGGCGAGGCACTGGGCGGGCCTGGGTCCTGGCGGGTCGGGCGTGAGGGGCTGCTGGCCACGGGGAGGCGAGTGGGCGCGTTTCGCAAGGCCAGCGGTCGCCTCTCCGCCTTGCCCTTTGCAGGCTCTCGGCTCGTTAGCCCCTTTGCAACAATTACTGCGCCAGAAGGCCACATTCTGGCCCGGGGAAGCTCTCGGGGGCTGTGGCCCAGCGGTGGGTGAGGACAGGACAGCGGCAACAATGCAAAAGGACTTGGGGACAAAAATGCGAACGCAGAAGGGGCCCACCTCCTTTAGCTCGCAGCTCCCGCAGCCAGTGGCTCGGCCTCGGAAGGGACATCGCGGCCTTTCGAGTCTGGGAAACGACAAGCTGATATCTTGCCAATGCAGCCAGTGGGTGGGATGAGGGGCAGGCCTTGGGCAGGCCCCAAGAGGCAGGTCGGGCCCTGGGAAGCCGGCCTGGGCCCCCGTGCCTCACCCAGCATTCCTGGAGCAGAGCAAGCAAAAAGAGAGGCCCCTGCCCCTGCCCCGGGTTGGGATGGGGGACAACAGAGAACAGGAAGACAAAAGCCAGGAGAGCCACGCAGAGATACGCACAGGGGAGCTCCCTGGATTTCCGTTTCACTTTTGTAGCCCTTGGCTCCGAATGGCAGCTGGTGGCAGAGAAGTGTCCAGGAGGTTTTTGGCAGAACGTAGTTGTGTTCACAGGGACAATCCCTCCGGAAGCGTGGGAGCCGCGTGCCTCCTTCGCTTCAGCTTCCTGTGGCCTGGTCTTTCCTTTCCGTCTTTGTTCCTTTCCCTCTTTTTCTCTTTCCCTCTTGCAAGTTCTCTCTCCCACCCCTCTTTGCATGAATGAGTGGATCAAGCTTGAGAGTTTGTTACCAGACGGTTATCCAGCCAGGCTGTGTGTGCAAGCGACCCACGGGCCTGTGGGCGCCTTCTGCCCATGTCGTGCGTGGAGAAAGTCCCAGCGTCTCTGGCTGAACGGCTCCAAGCAGAATCGGAAGCACGTTTTGCCGGTTGGACCATGAGAGGATCCCTGTGGCCGGACCAGACCAAAGGCCTCTCCGGTCCAGCTGTGTCTGCTTTCAGTGTCCAGCCAGCTGCCCATAGAAAGCCACAAAGGCCGGCACCATGGCAGCTCTTTGCAGATAAAGCAGAGTCTAAATCCTAGAAACAAATAAAATGGGAGGGCATGAGCGCCATGGTTTCATCTCATCCAAACTCCTCAGCCACTGCTGTTCAGAGGTGCAAAGCTGAGTCCATATCCCTCACGAGGACTAGAAGCTGCTGGCGGTCTTCTGCCCCCCAAATCTGTGTTAATAGCCATCACTATGCTTGCTGGCAGCAAATTCCACCGTTCCGCTTTCCCGCCCATTAAAAGATCGCAGAGCCCCCAGAGTTGCAGTCCTGCCTGCTGGGGAGGCTGCTCCAAGGCCTTGATCATTGGGGTTGTCCTTCCGTGCGCCTTCCCAAGATCAGCAGCATCCACTGGATTTGGATGGGATGAGGCGGGATTCGTGCCCTGCCTTTTTGCCAAGGAAAGTAGCACTCAAGGCAGCGTGCCGGGCGCGTTTGAGGTACGAGGCGAGGACTGTGCACGTCATTCCAGGAGTGCTTGTGCCCTGGGCTCGTACAGGGACCATCCCGGCTGCTCTTTTGTATTCCCTTCCCCAGCGCTTCCCAGGAGCTGCAGTCCAGCCACGGACCGCGTTGCTGTGGAGCCCCAGCGGCTGCTCCGGGTCAAGCCCGGAGAGACGCGGCTGGGCCCTGCAGAGCGCTGGCTGCCGGCCAGCCTGTGGCAGGGCAGCCGGGCGGCATCCAGGCCACCCTGCTCCAGCTCGGGGAGCCCTCCGCCCTGGCAGCCCAGGCTCGCTCCCCTGGCCACTCGCTGAGAGCGCCGACTCCGCGAGTGTGCGCAGAGCTGGTCCCTTTGCCCCGCTGTAGCCACTGCGCACCTGCCCTGGGGGCAGCGTTCCCAGGGAGACGCTCGGTCGGCGCTGCCCGAGGCCTCGTCGGCAGGCGGAAGAGACCCGTGCTGGGCGCGCGGCTCTGCAGTTGGTGCCCCTCCCGCTTCGAGGGGGGGCCACACAGGGCAGCTCCTGGGTCAGGCGCACGCATGAGGTCAGCGCCATCTGTTTGAGGGGGTCTGGCCAGGGGCAGGCGAGAAGCTGTGGCGGATGAAGCCCAGGTGAAGTCTTCTGTGAATGCCACAGAGAGGCCCACGATCACCTACCTGATTGGCACGTCACCTGGCAAACCGCAGGCTGAATGGCGCCGGACTCGCTGGAGATGCTTGAAGACATTCCCAGCTTGAGAGACAATCGACATGCACCTGCAAACCACACAATACCTTCTAGGCTTACCCTGGGTGGGTCCACTCAAGAACTCCCCAGAGGATCCGTGCCCACAGGTGGCAGGACTGCCTACAAGAGGGAGGCTGCTGGGTTGTTTATGCAGCATGGAGGGAGCTCATGCATGCCTACATCCAGAGAGATCATGGGTTAATTAACCCAAGATCTGCTGGAGATGCGAAGAGCCATTTCTGTTTTGAAAGAGAACCTGCAGAAGCCCATGAATCTCCCAACAAGAACTGGGTGTGTAAATTCTTTTATTTGATGCTGTGTAGTGCGAAGTGGCCCATTTAGGGGGCGACAGTGCCAGACCTGGGGGGGGAGGCTTGGGGCAACAGAGTGATCGCTCGGGGGCATGTTTCTTTATAAAATGTGCTTGACCTGTGTGGGTTTGATGGAGTTAAGAAAGAAGCTGTAAGTGCTGGGTGGGTCTAGGGCAGTGATGAAGAAACTTTTAGAAACCGAGTGCCCAAACTGCAACACAAAACCCACTTATTTATCGCAAAGTGCCAGCACTGCAATAAAACCTGAAAACTGAGGGTATAGTTTAGAAAATAACAAATCACAGCCCGCCCAAGCAAATATATGTATATCATCAGCAGCGTTCTGACACGCCACGCAAAAACTGGGAAGAGCAGTGGCGCATAAGTCACGGCTCGCGACATCATTGCCTGGCGCCGCTACTCCTTTCCGAGCATGCGCATGGCCCCTCTGTGCGCTGTCATCCGAAGCTCGGCTGCTGGGGTGACTTGGCCCGCGTGCCGAGAGAGAGCGCTCTGCGTGCCCGCTGTGGCACATGTGCCATGGATTTGCCACCACTACTCGAACCCTACCCTGGGGCACACACCTAACCCTAATGTAGGGCTAAAGTTCCACTGAAAAGTGGACGATTTTGAAAAAGCCCCCCTTGAGTGGCTTTTTTTGCACAGCTCATCATTTCTGCCCCTTCTACACACATTCCAACCGTCGAAATCATGCCAGGACGCCTCGTTTTTCTAACCCTCACCCTACCCTGGGGCACAGCCCTAACCCTAATATAGGGCTCAAGTCCCAATGAAAAGAGGGCGATTTTGAAAAAGCCTTCCTTGAGTGGCTTTTTCTGCGCAGCACATCATTTCTGCCCCTCCTATGAACAATCCAACCGTC